CTGGAAAAAAACTACTGTGTCTTGCCTCAGTGACTTCTGACCCATAGCGCTCACTCCAGTCATCATAAAGTGCTTCAAGGTTTTGGCAATGAAACACATAAAGAGCAGGCTTTGTTCCACACTGGATCCATTTCAGTTCCACGTATCACCCAAACTGGTCTACAGAGAATGCCATATCCTCTGCCATTCATCTCTGTCTGACTCACCTGGACAGAAGAGACAAGAGTGGTTAAAATGTTCCTCATAGACTTGAAGAACAACACAGTCATACCATGGCAACTTATTGAAAGCTGAGCTTGCTGGGCCTGACTACCTCCTCCTACAACTGGTGTGCACATCATGACCTCACCTGGATCCTCAACACCACCCGACTAGCCAAGAGAGCCCAGTGGTCCTGTGAAGGATGAAGAGAGCATACCTCCCCTTACATCCTCAATACATTCTACAGGGGGACAATAGAGAGCATCCTGACCAGATATCTCATTGTCTGGTATGAGAAACACCCCTGTCTCAGGGTGAACACACTGAATGCACTGATGCCCCCAGTGTCCACCTGGACTAAACTAGAACATTCACCATAGACTGATTACACACCCCTTTACCATCACGCTTGTACTTTAAGTTCTTTAAATACAGCCCTATTTCCAAAAAAGTTGAGATGCTGTGCAAAATATAAATAAAAACAGAATGCAATGATGTGCAAATCATTTAATCCCTATATTTAATTGAAAGTAGTACAAAGACAACATATAAAATGTTGAAACTGAGAAATTATATCATTTTTTGAAAAATATATGACCATTTTGAATTTGATGCCAGCAATATGTTTAAAAAAAGCTGGGACAGGGGCATGTTTACAACTGTGTTGCATCACCCCTCCTTTTAACAATACTCTGTAAATGTTTGGGAACTGAGGAGACCAGTTGCTGTAGGTTTGAAAGTGAAAAGTTTTCTCATTCTTGCTTGATATAAGATTTCAGCTGCACAACAGTTCAGGGTCTCCTGTATCATATTTTTTCATAACGTTTCATAATTGTTTCATAATGCACCAAATGTTTTGAGCGGGTGACAGGTCTGGACTGCAGGCACACTATCTTAGCATCTGCACTTTTTTAATACAGAGCCATGCTGTTGTAAAACGTGCAGAATATTGTTTGGTATTGTCATGCTAAAATAAGCAAGGCCTTCCCTGAAAAATACTTTGTCTGGATGATAGCATATGTTGCCACAAAACCTGTATATATTTGCATTTGCAATATGCATTTATGGTGCCTTCACAGATGTGCACATCACCCGTGCCATGTGCACAATTTTCTAGTTTGTTCTGGTTTCTTCTTTGCCTTATAGTTTTAACTTGCATTTGTGGATGCAGCGAGAAACTGTGTTCATAAACAATGGTATTCGGAAGTGTTCCTGAGCCCATGCAGTGATTTCCACTACAGAATCTTTTCTGTTTTTAGTGCAGTGCTGCCTGAGGGGCTGAATATAATGGGCAGTCAATATTGGTTTTTGGCCTTGTCTCTTGCATTCAAAGATTTCTCCGGATTCTCTGAATCCTTTAATGCAAATTATGTACCGTAGATAATGAAATTCCCAATTTGTTTGGTATTTTACATTGAGAATCCTTCTTTTTGAGTTGTGCACTATTTTCCTGCGGAGTCTTTCACAGTGTAGTCAATCCCTCCCCATCTTTACTTCTGAAGGACTCTCTGGGATGCTCTTTTTATACCTAATCATGTTATTGACTTGTTGCGAAACAACCTAATTATTTGTGAGATATTCCATCAGTTTTGTTGTTTTTTTTTTTACAAGCATTACACGGCTTTACTAGTCTTGTTGCCCCTGTCCCAACTTTTTTGAAACGTGTTGCTGGCATCAAATTCAAAATGGGCATATATTCAAATGAAACATATTTCTAGTTATACCTGTAATATTTGTAACTCTGCACATGGTACATTTATGCTTATGTTCTGAGAATGTTCTAAAGTAGCAGATCTAACAGTAGATATATTATCTAAAGTGCTTCATCTCAGTATTCCACTGTCGCCACATTTATGTCTTTTAAATGATGACTCAGCTCTTCAGTTTTCTTCGATTCAATGAAGGATGCTGATGGCAGGTTTTACAGCCACCAAGAAAACTATCTTGCAATTTTGGATTGCCCCACAGCATAATTCGGATGGAATATCTTACAGCAAAGCTTAACTAGGCAAAACAGACAACAATAATAAACTAGGAGAATTTATATGACTCTATTTAAGAATTTTAGTTTCCAATTAAATTGTGTTGTTGTTTAGTTGTGTAGTTGTTTATGTATTGTCTTTGCTTTATTTTTGATTTGTGTGTATTCCTAAAATGTATGTCATCGTTCTGCCTTCCCCTACCCCTTACCTTTCCCCACCCTTGTTGTAGCATAATGAAAAATGCAATAAAAAGTTGATCATAAAAAAAGGGCACATATTTTTCAAAAAATAACATTTTAACATTTTTTTTAAACATTTGATATGTTCTTTTTGTACTACTTTCAATTAAATATATGGTTTAAATGATTTGCACATCATTACATTCCATTTTTATTTAACTTTTGCACGCCAACCCAGTTTTTTTTTTTTGTTTTTTTTTAAACAGAGTTGTATTTGAATTATGCTATGAGAAGTATATGTATAAGCTGTATATGCTGTTGTGTGTTGCACCATGGTGCCTGAAGAACGCCATTTCATTCCAGTGTATGCAAATTATTTGGAGGAATGACCATAAAGACCCATTTGCTTGACTTGACACTCCGACACCCAGTGCTTACAGCAAGTGTGCAGTTTAACTGAGACCCAGTAAGTTAAGAAAAATATTGATAACCTGTGAATATCTATGTTTAACTTATGCACCTACAGATTAGAGTCATGAACAGTGGCATCTCTAGCACAGAAAGGCTGGTGGGGCACAAAAAAAGCAGCCAACTCGTTCGTCAATGAAACTACACACAAACCTGATCCAAACCCAAATGCACTCCATCAAGGAAATCACAAATTAACATAACCTGGTGCAGGAGTTAGTGGAAGTGGAGAATATGAGTAATATGATAATGACATTAGACCTCACAAAACCTTGTTATACAGCTTTGCATTACAAATCCAATGTTATCTTGCAGTATACGATCATTGTGGTCTGCATATCCACATATCAGAGCAGGGAAACACATTTTCTAGGCATTAGGAATAACACGTCTTGTAATAATGCAGAATGACTCACCAGTAACGTTCACTGCTCGAAAGGGAAAGATGCATGATGGTCTTTCATCTGGGCAAACTTGTCAAAAACCTTTCTTTCAAAGTCCACCAATCCATGAATCAGTTCAAGTGATAACATAGCAAGGGCAGGCAAGGAAAGCGGAAAAGTGTTTTTAACTTCACACTCGCAGTTAGCCATATTTTTTTCTTGAACCACTCTGGATTGAAGGAGCAGTTTTTGTCCTTTCCAGACTGAATGATGTTGAAATCCTTTTGCTGGTGTGGTCCCAAACATTTAGTCTCTGCTGTAATGGCAGGTTGTCTAATTTAACTTTTATTACATTTTCGACTTGAGCCTTTATATTGTCTTGCTATTAGGAGTGGCTATCACAACTAATAAGGAATTATTGCTAGCTGCGTAGCAATGCCCATACTGTAAACAACATTACTAAACATCTGGATGTATGTAAATTTATTATTTTTCATTGGCTGCTCTCAGCATGGGGCTAATGTGATCGGTCCCCACAGCTGGTTATTCAAAGTATGTTGAGCATGCACAGAGTGTTTTTTAACTGCTCACTTGGTTAGATGAACGCTGATGGGCCAGCCCCACACTCACCAAACAAAGACTGCCAGGAGAAATAGGTAGCCTACTACCTACTACTGGCATTTACACAATGGGTACAAGAAAATACTTGGAATGTATCGGACAGCCCTACCATTGTCATGTGTAATAAACGTGCAACAATGTTAGTTACAAAAAGATTGTATATATTAGTTGTTATATTGAATTGATTATGTCATGCACTGCTCCACAGCAACATCTGGTGGGCTGTAGAGATGCCACTGGTCATGAATGAGCTGTATTTATTACTAGTAGTGGCGTGCATTATGGATCATAATTAATCAGACAGTCATGTTTGATGAAGGAGGCCCTCTTACTGATTCTTTTATGTTCAGTTGTGTCCTTGTATTGCAAAATATGCTCTTAAATGTTGAGATATTGGTTCAAATATGTAATGTAATGTATCTTGTAATGATGAGGTTTATAAAAATGGTAATAAGCCCACAAATACAAAATAATGTACACACATCTTCATTTTTGTCGATTTCTACTTTCGTACACCAGTTGAACATGGCAGCTGGCCTTTCCATTTTGTGAAAGTTTCAAAAAGGGAACAAATACAAATGCTTCAAAACCTCTTTAAATTGACTAGCATTGAATTAAATGAATGTACATTTCACATATTTAAAAAAAAAAAAGAATAACAGCTGATGTTAATGGGAATTATTTCTCATGAAAGTGGTATTAATCATAGTATAACACTAGTATTTCTAATACGTGTAAAGCCCACTCTCAACAACCTCCACCTCTGGTCAAACTACGTGTTTTGTTTGAAAACAAAAATATTACATAAAACATAAAATGTCCGATAACTTTTGCATAGGCCACATTTTATCTTTTTTGTTTTTTCCCCCAATGTGTTAAATTCAGCAAGTACACAGCAATTGTTCATTAAAGTATGCAGAAGTGTTTTCTCTGTAGAGGATGTGTACTTTTTATCATTTAGAAATTCAAAAACATGTAATTTGACCAGGGGTGCTCTGTCTGTCTGTCTGTCTGTCTGAGTGAAACAAAATACCAAATGTATATGTATATATTTATTTTTTGCTTGGTTTATGACAATTAGAATAATTTACTTAAGCAAGAGGAGTTTAAAATAGTTTATATGATGTCCCTCTGAAGCTGTCTCCTAATATTTTTGCTCCCTACAGTGAGTACCACTTCTTCTCAGCCTGCACAGAGGACAACGCAGTGAGGATTGGCTGCTTTTGGCCCAACCCGGTTGTAGAGCACTATATTATCCACATCCACAAACAATTCTTTTCCAACTGCACCTTGAAATCTGTGGTCTGGGGTGATCCATCTGAAGATACTCTCATTATCCTTATCCTTGTTCCAGTCTTTCTCACACTCGCCATGGTCGCATTGGTAGTATGGTGCAGTAAGCGAAGTGATATACTGGCTTAGCACTGAAGACCAAGGTCTATAAGGAAAGGCCATGAGCAAATAACACATTTTGGCACAGGAGTGTTATCATTCCTTTTAATCAGGACATTAATAAATGCAATGGAGAACTTTTCTTTGGTTTTTGGACCTAAAGAAGGCAAAAGATGTTTAACACATTGGCAAAAATATGTACTTTTGTGACATTTCCCTTGAGGATACCTTCTATCACTACTGTGTGAGCCACTGTTTGAGCTCTCATTTTAGCTCTTTGTGAGACTTTGCCTTTGGGAGCTATGAACAGAAGCCAGTAATATTGTTACCAAGGATATTGAGTACACATGGACATTTCAGCAGCATGTAAGGCTTTTCTCCCTTTCCACCATCAGTGTGTTTTTAGAGATTCCTACATTAAGCTTGGCTTCATGAGTCCTGGTTTGATTTCTTGTGGATGCTGTCATTTACTGTGCCGCTGTAGGTGCTTTACTGAGGGACTCCAGTGTTCTCCACTGTGGTTTGAGATGTGAATTTAAATAATTGTTAGGATTTTATCTCTAATTTGTAGATAACGTTTACATTTTAGGAGCTGATATTTGGGTCGTAAGGATAAATTGAAACATGCGCTGTACTGCAACATAAAGTTTTAAGTAAATATCCTAGAATTAGGACAATTGTCAAAAGTACACCTCTAGAGTATTACAAGTACATGTAAAGCCCAGGTTCATAATATTTTAAATATGTCAGGTGGACTGTCATGTATATAATGTGTTATATTGTTTTTACAAGATTTAGAACCTGGTATCTGAGCAGAATTGTTAGATTAAATGTGAGGAAACTGACAAAAACTGAATGATTCCAGCAGATAATTGGTCAGTGACAAAGAACGAGACCAACAATAAACAACAGCAATAACACACAGTCACAGATCGCAGAAAGGCATGAAATGTAATACAGTCAAATCATAGCTGAAATGCTATAAATCTACAGCTCGTGATGGGAAGGACATTGTGAACAGTATATTGCATTGGATTGTGAGCACAATGATTACTTTAGGACAAACAAATAAAATATGACAGGAGGCATTATTTATATGATGAGGAAAGGCTTTGCATTGTGACTGGCTTAAAGATACAAACTGAAGACAATGACATATTCTGAAATGTCTTGCCTCATACCCTCAATGACTGCCATATGAGGCAGCGGTCCTTCAAGCTAGACTCCAGGAAGGATATAAAACTCGTTCCCAGAGAAGGCAAAGAATTAGAGGAAATGGGCTGGCTATGATTTTTACCAAAGAAGGCACAGGGACTGTAGAGAGTGCAGTTTTTCTCAGATGTGCATTAATGTGGCTGTTGCTGCAATGTCATTGGCATTAATATGAGACATTTGTCATGAGAGAGTCTTTTCTGTTATTAATATGAATTAAGGATACATCCTGAATATACTATAATATTCACTGTTTTTTACTGTATTATTGAATTGCCTTGTGTTTATGTGTCTGAAATATCTTGGAGTGTGTAAATAAGATATTTTGTTTTTTGTCTTTAACACAATTATAGTAGATTTATTTTTAACGTTTTCTATTTTTCTCTATATGGCTAGCATGATACTTTTCTTTTTCCTACACTAACATGCAGGCAATCCAAACAGGACGTCAACCCCCACTGGCCTTCCTCCCCTCTCCTTTTCATTTTACAACTGATATATGGCACATACACATATACACTCAGACAGGCCATCCCCTAAGGCCTTACAAGACCTGTGCTATAATCAAATTCATGAGGGCTTTTTTGTAGCCGGCAAACAGAAGGACATCAGTGTTCACTCCGAAAGGGTTTGAAATAAATCAGAGTATTTTATGATCGTCAGTAAAGCTGTGTGGTGAACACTTTCAGTCAGGGTCTGGTTTCCCAAAAACACAGTACTTGCTAAGGTCAGCTTAACTGTTAGAGTGTTCAGTGTTATACTACTATCTTATAATAATCTTTGCTTAAAAATGCCTTACAGTTGGTAATTGTGACATGGCATGAGAAAAGAGCAAAGATATTCAAAGGAAGTTTTTCTAATCTCTCTTTTTCTGAGTGCAGAGAGCCTCAAGCATTGACTTCCTGTTTATTCAGTGAATCCCACGCAGCTGAGTCCAAGTTTAACCTAAAACAGAGACACAACTTGAACAGTCTCATGCCTGACTATGACAGTCGGTTACCATGCTATGTTAATGAGTAACTTTCTGATGAATGCAAATGCTGCATATAATAATGTGCTCATCTGTGCTGACCTGAAGAATGGTAATTTTAGATCAGAAGTACTACATGAAAAGTTGCACACTGAGGAGTGAGGAGTGAAAATGCACTGAGGAGTGCATTTTCTAAAAAATATAACACCAAATAACTGTAGCAAATCACAATCTACATTATATTCATTGACTGTGAAATCAACTGAGCCTCCCATATTGCTCTACTTGACAGTGTAGCTAGGTGTATAGTAGAAGATTGGACACAATTACAAATGGTCAGTTTAGAGAACAGCTGGGAGAATGGCCAAACCAAAATGGCTCAAATTCTTTTCTGGGGTTGAACTGCAAGCACTACATGAGTGTATAGTGAATATTTTGCTCTGTTTCATTACTCTGAAGTCTGTATGATGTAGTGATGTGATAATTAATGTAGTATTGGGTTGATTAGCATAAGTTTGTATTAGTGTTAGAGCATTAACACCATAATTAATACCGTAAAACCATTTCCCATTGTGTAAACATTTTCTCTACTTTTTCCAAACATAAAACATGTAATGTCTAATGATTTTAAAACATTAAAACCCAGTTATAAATTTGATTTAAAGCTTGATCTGAAATTTTGTGCACCTGAGTTACAGTGACTCTCTGACTCTATTGTGTCAATCACAAAAAACAACAGACTCACAAATAAATGCTTTAACAGGGAACAGACATGATTCACTTGATGAAAATAAACAGCACAATATGATGTAATGATGTGATATCAAAAAAGAGTCCTAAATAAATATGAGGAGTAAAACCTGATGATTCATTATGTGAAAATACCAGCTTAACAGTTGGATGGTTCCTTGTCACAAAGTTGTGTTAACTGTTGACCAAGTTATAACTGAAGGATTTTAAAATTTCATTTTCATTCTTTTCCTTTTTTGTGCACAGGTTGAGAGATACAGTTCGAGGGAAATGCATGCATTGTTCGATGTGCATTCCAGTCCCTCATAAAGTCATTGGCTGTTACAGGTCACTGTTTACTGTAAATGAACAGAAAATATGTCTGTTCTTTTGAAATTGTTGCACTGCTATTTGTAGTCACAACACAGGAAAATGATTTATGAATAATTTATCAATAAAAATCCTTCACTTAGTGTACAGGCTCTGACAGCCCTGACCATATGTACCTCACCAAGACGTTATGTCAGAGCAATGCTTTAAGATATACATTTATTCACTATTTTAAATGACTTTACAGTTATTTTCTTAATGTCATCTCAAATATTGGACTAAACAGTCTAAAAAAGAATGTAATAACAATGTCCACAAAGTAACCTAAAATATAAGTTTCCAAATTCCCTATATGTTAATATTCAGAATCGGAAACACTTTTTTCCCCTCAAGTGTGTTACACATACAAGGAGTATGTCATGTGAAAGGAGCTAAAGAGATGAATATCTGAACATATGCAGATATGAATATTTATATGCAGGTCTGAGTGGACAAAACTATTATATACAGAATATTACAGAAGGATATTTAACATCTGTACAAGTAAAAAGCATTATGTTACAGATGAGTTAGTGTAACACAATAAGGAGGTTTGTTTTTGGGTTAGTTCAAATTTAAAGTACAAGGTGTCCGCTATGGTTAATGAGTGCTACAGCTCTGGGAAAAACGCTGTTAGTATGTCTGATTGTGCTGGTTTTGGTGGCCCTGAATCTTCTACCACAGGGAAGTGTCTGGGTGAAGTGATGCACAGGATTTAAGTGTGAGCAGTTATTTTGCCAGCATGCTTTATTACCTTGCTGTCTATCTATCTATCTCTGCAATTGTATCTATCAAGTACAACTATGTATCTATCTCCAACTCTATCTATATTAATCTACTCTCAGTATCTATCTATCTATCTATCTATCTATCTATCTATCTATCTATCTATCTATCTATCTATCTGTCTGTCTGTCTGTCTGTCTGTCTGCCTGTCTATCTAGTTAACCAATTAAGACAGAAGCTTGGTTTCCTCCTCAATCGCATCCTTCAGCGGTGTTCGGGGTTCGGGACCCCACCATTCTGCTGGCTCTCGCAGCTGTCTTTGGGGCTCAGGGGACAGGCTCAGGGCACACGTAGACTTCTTCAGCAAGTAGCAGCAGAGGAGCTACCGCCCCCTCAGGATCAATGTCCAGTGGACAGCTTCACGCAGGACTTGTCATGGTCCTGTCACATTAACACCCCAGTGAACAAAGCCCGTCAGTGTCTTTACCATCTCAGATGCTTGAGAGACTTTAAACTGCTCTACACAATGTTAAAAAATTTTTACACCTGCACTACCAAGAGCATCCTGACAGGCAGGCTCTCCAGAGGGTTGTACGATTAGCTGTGTGCATCATCTGAATGGAGCTCCCAGACTGGCAGTCTATCTACAGCAAGCGGTGCTGGCAAAAAGCTAGGTAGATAGTGAAAGACCCTAAGCTATCCTAACAATGGACTTTTCTCACTATTGCCACCATGGCCACATAGCTGCCCTAGTGACCTCATTAAGTCCAAGCAGAGTGCCTGGGGTGGGCAGGGGAATGCCACACCCTTGCTATCACTAAATTGTTGCGGAAAGACGCCGGCGAGAGTCTCAGCTGGTGAGTGCTGGAACCCCGACTCTCTGCCTCTGACTGGTGGTGAGCTCAGGAGCAGCAATGGATCAAAAATGGTGCCACATCATTTCAGAAACATCATACAGAGATCTTTAGAGTGAAACTTTTATTTTACTAAAAAGTCTTCCAATAGTGGGCAATGACCTGACTCCCCTGATTCTTATTTGAGATACATACTCAGTATCTGATAATGCTGTAATTATCAAACAGCTTTACAATAGTGACGAAGTTCCCCTGTGCTGTTCAGCAGTACTAATTATCCTCTGATAATGCAGGAGCATCCAGCACCAGCAGGAAGAAGAGGCAAATGTTCACATGACAAAATATCTCCTCCAAGAAATTGTAAGTGTAAAGTAGGGTACTTACAATATGCTCATTTTATGTAAAATGTAATTAAGGCTTTATTCCAGATCACTAATAAAAATGTATTTTTTATTTTACATTAATTAAATAAGTTTACATAAGTTAAAACCTATTGACATTTATTAAATTCAAATTGGTGTACATTCCTCTTGTTAATAAAAAATGCACTGTTTTAAAATTCTGTGCACAATAGTTTCAGGGGGGTAAATCAATGTCCCTCACAGCATCACCATCCATGTGTTTTTAAAAGATTTTTCCTTTGTTCAGCCACAGTGTTATCATCCACATTATGGCAAAATGCACAGGCTTTGTCAAAGGTTCACTGTGGAGGTGAATAAGAGATGCTGCATGTGATTCAATCTAGACTGTCAGTGATTAAGTGCAGGTTCTGTTAAGAGTATATGTATAAACACATTGCTGGCTCCCCACAGTAGGCCAGAAAACACACGCACAAGAATAAGCATTACAGTTACATTTAGACAGGTAATAGTAATTAATATTATACTCTGATTTAAATCGCCTTTAAACAATTAAATACTTATTCATATCTTCTCTATATTAATGTACTTTTTTATATCAAGAACTGATGAGAATCCAACTTCTAAACTTTCTAAATTAAACCCATATTTATTTATATAAGTCTTTTTTTCTTTTTAATCAACTGCACCCAAAAAAGAGCGTGTGCCACAGCCTGTGCATTTTACAAAGTGTAGGCTGAACAGCGGAAAGACATTTTAATAAAGCAGTTAAAGATCACATGGATGGTGGAGCTGTGAGGGACACTCCCTGAAAATGATTTACAAAGGTTTTTTCAACAAGTGCATTTTTATTAACAAGAGAAAAAATACTTTTATTAGTGATTTTGTGCAGCCTCAAGTTAATGTTATATAAAATGAGCATAATAAAACGATAAAAAATTCTAATTTTCAATCTAATTGTGTTAGTGGAATCCACTGAGCCTTGAGTCAACTGTGAGGCTAAATTAAGCGAGGCTAATCCAAATAAGCTTGACTTTTATAAGCTTGCTTCGTGAAAAAGGGGATACTGGGGATGCTTGCAACACTTCTTGCAACCGCCCCATCACACACAAGTTATTTTGGGAAATATTTTGTTTATCATTAGCCTCTCATGGTTTTACACTATATTTGCCTATAGTATTCATTATAGGCAGTAAAATAGATAAATTGTGTCTATGGTGAACTTAAAATGTTGCAAAATACTTTTATTAATGCTTTTATTATTATTATTATTTTTAAACGCAGCAGCAGATGCTGAAAGTATCTTCTGTTGTTCTGGTGGGGGCAGTAAAACACTTTTTTTCCCAACATTATTTTTTTCAAAGCATATTAATCAATTTAGGCTATTTGAGTATATTGCCTTGATTTTATTTGATTTGTTGCTGTAGTGGTAACAAATGAAAGCTAAAATCTAAATGGCTGAGATTGCCCATGGTGTTATTATTTTCTCATCCCAAACCGCATGATAGCACTAAATAGTATGCAAAAATAATGGATATCCTGTTAGAAGTGCACTCATTAGTGTAGTAGGTGAAGTACAGAAGTGTGTGGTTTGGGATGCAGCATTAGATCAGCCAGTGAGAACCATTCAACAGCTCCAATGGCTCATAAAGCTTCACTCTGCTGCTTAGTCCACATTTCCAAGAGAACATTTCAGGTATTTGTTGATTTAAGATGCATTTATTGAAGCAAATTAATGCATTTATGCTGATGCTGGCTTCGTATTCGTATTCAAATGAGAAGGGGGCAAATAAGAAGCTGACATGAACTTGATATATAAATGTATGAGTTTATTATGTAAGAGCTTTGGCAACTTTGCCAACCACTTTTATTAGTTTTTGTGAACTCTCACAAATTTTCTGAACTCTGGAGATGTGCAGACTATACAGATCCAGTCCACCAATCTAGCTAATCTTCTCCTTGTAGTGCAGGGGTGTCCAATCTTATCCACAAAGGGCTGGTGTAGCTGCTGGTTTTCATTCTAACAAAGTAGGACTGCACATGATCACTTGTTTGAAGGCTGAGCAATTGATTAAAGAAGTGGAATCACCTGCTGGCTTGGAATGAAAATTTGCAGACACACCAGCCCTTTGTGGATAAGACTGGACACCCCTGTCGTAGTGTTTTCTGGAGACTGCATCTAAAGTATCTACATATCTGTTCATCATTTGCGTGGTCATTCTGGTCTACTTCGCTTGGTTTTATCCATCTGCAGGGTTGTAACAGCAGTAATGATGAAGAGACGAGCTCTATCAAAGCACAGTTAGAGTTACAGCTTGCCTACCTACGTGGTCTTCGTAATGACATAATGACCATGAACACTGTAATTACTTTTTACTACGTGTCACGCCTTGTATGGACTCTCTTAGTGTTACGGACTACATTTCCCAAGACACCTTGGGAAATCACATGACAGCGGACTTCCCTGTAGAATCGGAGTCCCTCATGGACTCCATTACCCAGGAGTCAAGCAGTGATCATGTGATCAGTGACGATCAGCCTTGCACCTATCAGCGCTCTCGGTCACCAGAATATTGAATAGTTTCACCTGTGTGTTTGTCATATGACTAGTTTAGTGTAGTATATAAGCCCGGGCTTTAGAAAGGGTTCTTTGTGAGGTATTGCTTCATTATTGAACTTACTGAGCGTTTCTTCTGTTTTGACCTACTCTGTTTATTGACCCCGATCTTGTTTCCTTGACTCTGTTTTTGCCTTACCCTTTTGTACCTTTGCTGGATTTTTTGGATTTGTGATTCTGAACCTTTTTGCCTGCATTTTCAACTCTGTCTTTTGTTTTGCCCTCTGGATTTTGTTTGCCTGGTGTTATGATCACATTCATGATCATATATCGCTTCCTGGTTTTGACCCACGTTTGTACTTTGCCTACAACTCTGCCTGGTGTAAATAAAGCCTGTCTTCTCATTTTTAACCGCACATGTCTGAACTTCGCTGAATGGT